GCACAGCGGAAGTCTTGAGTGAATGTACTTGTGCTGGTATGTGAGAACAAGTAATTTATTAAAGCAAAGAGCATACAGGAATATATAGAAAAGATAGATTACAGGAAGCGATTATGTTTATCGAGACGCGTAACGCTTCGACTATCGAGGCGGTTACTGTTCACTGAAGCGTCGCCTGCTGTTGCGTAACCTCCTGGCGATTACAGCTTGCAACCTCCAGTTGCGGTTTGATGTGGTACGCGCCTTTTCGACTTCATACCCCTTTTGTTGTGCTTCGGTATCGGGTGAGGTTCGATACTACAGAAACGCACTAAGTCATGCGTTTATATTCCCAACACTCCCCTTCGTTTCTGGAGTGTCGACGTGGTCAGCTTCGGTGACGTGGCCCAATCCGGTGAGCAGCATGCAGTACTCGAATTTCCCCTTTGGTAGCTTCTTGGTGAGATAATCTGCTGCCATCTCGGTGGTCAGGCAGTAGTCCAGCTGGAGTTTTCCCTTCTCAATTTCGTCTTTCACGAAGAAGTATCGCAGTGCAATATGCTTGGTTCTGTTGGCGAGGCCATTCTTGTTCGCGATCCGTATCGCGGACTGGTTGTCGCAGAAAAGCGAGAAGCTGGGTACTTTCGCAATTTTCGCTTCTTCCAGCAGTTCGCATAGTTATAGACCTTCCTTGGTGGCGGTGCAGAGAGCAATATATTCTGCTTCAGCGGATGATAGTGCGACGAGTTCCTGCTTACTTGATTGCCAGGAGATAGTTCCGACGGGCTCGAGACGGTAGATGTAGCCGGTGCGAGAGCGACGATCGTCACGATCAGCGGCGTGATCGGCGTCGACGTAGCCGAGTAGTTTTAGGTCGGTCGTCGTGCTCTTGTGATACGTTAAGCCAACTGTTGGCGTCGAGATGAAGTAGAGAAGGGCACGGTTGAGTTCCTTGAGGTGACGTTGTTCTGGGCGCTTGAGGTAGGTCGCTAGCTGGCTGGCGCTGTAGGATAAGTGCGGTCGGCACGTAACGGCGGCAAAGAGTAGGCAGCCCAGTTTCTGTTGATATTCCTGGATTCCGGCAGACGGCAGTAGGTTGGTTTTTTTCAGTTGGGTCGGGTGATAGGTGACTGTAGGGTGTTGCGACGTGCGTCGGTGTGAGGCAGAAGCGTTCGGCAATAGTGCTTGCGTATTTTGAGGCGCTGAGATGAATGGCGTTGTCTTCGTCGAGGATGTTGAGCCCTAGGTACTGCGTGACATTGGGTGAGACTGTGAGGGAGAGATCCGTCTGAAGCTCCTTCTCGAACCAGGTGACGATGGTGGTAGTTGACCCGATGTAAAGCAAGTCGTCGACGTAGACAATTAGCAGGACGTAGTCGTTGTCGTGAGTGAGGCGATACATGCCCTGGTCATGGGGCAGTTGGTTGAATCCGATGCGTTTGAGTCGTGCGTGCAGGTACTGCTGCCAGAGTCGCGGTGCCTGTTTAATTCCGTACAGTGATTTAAGTAGTTGACAGACACGGGAAGGGTCGTCAACGAACCCGTGGGGCTGTTCAACGAAGATTTCGGCGTCGACTGGGTCGTATAGAAAAGCGTTGGTGACGTCGATTTGTCGGAGTGGGCGGCGACGTGAGGCGGCGATGGCGAGGAGAATGCGCAGGGAAGTGTGTCGTCTGACTGGTGCAAAGGTTTCAGTAAAGTCGCGACCATACTCTTGGTCGAATCCGCGGACGACCCATCGAGCTTTAAATCGTTCGATGGTTCCGTCGGAGTTGGTTTTGATCCGGAATACCCATTTCCCGGAGAGAATGGGTCGGTCTTGTGCGAGTGATGCAGGGACGATCTTCCAGGTGTTGCGGTCTGCCAGCGCTTTTAACTCCTTTTCCATGGCTTCGCGCCATTTTTCTTTGTGTTCCCCCCCTAGAGCCTGCTTGACAGAGCGAGGCTCTTCAGGTGGCGTCGAAGGCCCGTGCACTGCAGCGACGAGTCCCAGGACTTGGAGTCCGCTGGGGGTGTGACGGTTCAGCAGGGGATCCTCGGGATAGACTGCTTCGTCACCCGCTTCAGGATCAGGTGCGAATCCGGGGCCGTATCGTTCAGAGATGTCGGTGTTGACGGGTTGGGGTGTTACGTAACCAGTGTCGGCGAATTGGTAGTAGACGTCGGCAGTGATGCTGTCGCGAGGATTTTCCTCGTCCATGGGGATTGGGACGGAGCAGTAGGGAAGGGGTCCAGCAGCTTCGGATGCACCGTCGACGTTTTCTTCTTCCCAGTCAGCAGCGTCGGAGGGTGAAGCGAAGGCTCGGGAACCAGAAAATCCGCCGGTGGGGTCGACGTGGCGTGCGATGTTGTCCAGGTAATGGTTGAGGGTGAGTCGCTCGTAGAAGATAACGTCACGTGCTGCTACTGTTTCCTTTGTGTGGACGTTGAAGATTCGCCAGGCTTCGTAATGTTTTGCCAGCCCGAGGTGTAGACCCCACTGTGCACGTTGTGAAAATCTCCCTGCGTGTGCAGTGTGTGGGCGGTACTGTACCATACACCCAAAAACTCTTAACATTTTTGTGTTGCCCAGCTTCCCAGTCCACAACAGGTGCGGAGATGCGTTGTTGGGCAGTGAAGACGAGGACAGTAAGTTGTGCAGGAGGACAGCGTGGTCCATCGCTGCTGGCCATTTCGAGTTGGGCAGTCGAGTTCCACGTAGTAGCTTTCGCATGGTTGTCTGCAGGGTCCTGTTCATCCTTTTTGCAACACCCTGCTGTTGGTGAGCGTAAGGAAGAGAGATGAGGCGTTTGATGCCTCTTTCTGCCAAGAACTGCCTGAAGCGTTGTGACTGGTATTCCATCGCGCCATCTGACTGAAAACTTTTCAGTTTCGCTCCCGGCTCTCTTTCAGCGACAGGTAGCCAGGCTGTGAAGGCTTCTAGAGCCATGTCTCGTGACGGTAAGTTGACGTGCCAGACATATCGCGTTGCGGTGTCGATGAAGGTGATGACGTAGTTCAGATCTTCACACCCTTCAGTTCGAGGTATGTAGAGGATGTCGCTGTAGACTTTTTCGAGTGGTTGATAAACGGGGGCGCTCGGATTGTGATGTGACGGGAACGGTTGGTGAGGTAGATCTGCTTCCGGGCAGATGAAGCAAGTACCGCGTGGTCGTTCGAGTTCACGTCCGTTGGGAAGCAGTAGGGCGTTCTTGTCTAACACTCCGGCTCGTATTGTGTTGTAAAGTGTTTTGTTTCCAGGATGTCCAAGACGTTGATGCCAGATGTCTTCGGAGGCGCTGTGACCGACGGAGCGTTGATAGAAGTCTGCGTTGGCGAAGAAGGCGGCGTGTGTTGCTGCACTTCGATGAACGGCGCGTGGTGCTGGCGTTAACTGTTGGGCGGCTGTCGGTGGCGTGTCGATGATGAGAGGCGGTGGCGCGACGGAGGGACCGGGCTGTGGAGTTTCGGAAGGTTGTTCCGCGACAACGGTTGGTTCTACAACTGCAGGTTCGGTGGTTGTTGGTGCTGTGACGGGTGCAGTTTTTGTTTCGATGACGGGTGCTGACTCAGGTGTTGTTGCTTGTGTTTGCAGGACGGCAAGCGCGTTGGTGCGTTCAGCTTCGGGAATGGTACGAGAGTACCAGAAGCCTTCAGGACTGAAGTTCGGATCGAGGTCTGGCGGATGCGTCCAAGGTGCTAAGGCGACTATGCCATCGCTGTCGGCGGTGCCTTTGTCGGGGACGAAATCGAGAACGAAGACGTCATCTTGTTGGATTGCGCGGCCGATGAAGACCCCCCCTTTTCCGTGGTAAAGGCGGATTTCCCGGGCGTCAGAGTCACACTCCAGGTGAATGCCTTTCGACATGAGTTGGCTGACGCTCAGCAAGTTGAAATAAAGGTTGTCGACGACGAGTACTTTGTTTAACTGAAGAATGACGTTTGTTTCGTTCGACTGAAGTTCCACTATTCCTTGCTTGTCGGTGCGCAGGTTTTCGTTGTTGGCGACGGTAATAATAACATCTCGCGGAAGTCGTCATTCGCGTTGAAGAAATCGCGATGAAGAACACATGTGGTGACCATAGCAGCTGTCGAGGAACCATGTGTCGGGTCCAGTGGGTGTACTATTTGCGACGGCGGCATATGTCGGATTCACATTGAAGGATGACGGTGGTGGTGACGGTTGCTCGTCAGGACTGTAAGTCGGTGGTGAGCCGGTAATACACGAGTCGATGTTTGACTCTGTTGTTCGTGCCATGGCGACGATTCTTGATGTCTGTGCAGGTCCCGAAGTGGAAGTTGACGGTCGCGTTGAAGTAGTCGTTGAGACGGTCGCGGGTCGTTGTTGAGTTGACGCGATGTGAGGAGGCGCGGGTCGCAGAGGACGAGAGAATGGTGCTGGTTGTCGATGTTGCTGAGGGCAGTTGAAGCGTGTATGTCCTGAAGTCCGACACAGATGATAGTAAGGAGGTACGTGTCCTCGATTTTGGTAACGTGGCTGTCGTCGATTGGTGTAAAGAACGACTGGTTGATGATGCCTTTTGTTGTTGCGTTCTTCGAACAGGTCCATTTCCTGCTGCTCGGCGTGAAGTTCGGCGCAGAGATGCATTTCGGAGAGTCGACCGTGAGCGCGAAGAAGTGAACGGGTGGTACGCCATTGAGGTCCAAGGCCGACAAGAACGACGGTTACGAAAGCTTCTTCAGATAAGTTTCCTCCGCAGCGAATGAGTCTGTCACGTAGTCCTTGACAGTGGCTGATGTAAGGCATGGCCTTTTCTCCAGGTTGCATTTGTCAGATTTATATGACATAGTTTCTGTAGGCTATAGTGGGGTAGCACATATGGGGTACAGGGTTTGTAGGGTTGTATTTGTACCCAATCTTCCATAGTCATTTCATTCCTGTTTTCCTTGCTTCACATGGTATAGAGCGGGTCCTGCCTTAGGACCGTTTTTTTTAGGGCCCACCAAAGCGCGCCCCGAGGCGCGCCCTTTTTTTTTAGCGACCCCTCGGGTCGCCTTTTCCCTCGCGGCCCCGCTGTCCCTCAGACGCGGCCCCGCCACCTCTCCTGATCGCGGCCCCGCCGCCTGTTTGACGCGGCCCCGCCGCCTCCCCTGACGCGGCCCCGCCGCCTCCCCTGACGCGGCTCCGCCGCCTCCCCTGACGCGGCCCCGCCGCCTGTTTGACGCGGCCCCGCCGCCTCCCCTGACGCGGCCCCGCCGCCTCCCCTGACGCGGCTCCGCCGCCTCCCCTGACGCGGCCCCGCCGCCTCCCCTGACGCGGCTCCGCCGCCTCCCCTGACGCGGCCTTGCCGCCTCCCCTGACGCGGCTCCGCCGCCTCCCCTGCCGGCCCGCCGCTGCTCCTGCCGGCCCGCCGCTGCACCTGCCGGCCCGCCGCTGCACCCAGCGGCCCGCCGCCTCTGACGGCCTCGCCGCTGCACCTGCCGGCCCGCCACTGCACCCTACGGCCCGCCGCTGCACCCTACGGCCCGCCGCCTACACCTGCCGGCCCGCCGCTGCACCTGCCGGCCCGCCGCTGCACCTGCCGGCCCGCCGCTGCACCTGCCGGCCCGCCACTGCACCGGTCGACCCGCCGCTGCACCTGACGGCCCCGCCCCTGCATCTCCTGGCCGAGCCGCCCCAGCAGCCGAACCGCCCGTGAGCCGAGCCGCCCGACGCCGAGCCGCCCGGGACCCGAGCCGCCCTGCCGCCGAGCCGCCCGGGAGCCGAGCCGCCCTGCACCCGAGCCGCCCAGCCGCCGAGCCGCCCGGGAGCCGAGCCGCCCTGCGCCCGAGCCGCCCAGCAGCCGAGCCGCCCTGCACCCGAGCCGCCCGGTCGCTGAGCCGCCTTTCTGCATAGCTGCACGACCTGCCCTGCCTGGTGAGCACAGTCCCACTGACACTGCGAGCTCTTTCCCTACTGCTTGCACTGCGTCGCTGTCGTCGCCATGGCTACCCCTAGTGTCCTAGCTTTTGACGCTGAGGGTCGCGCCATTGATTTTGAGGTCTGGTTAGACGACCTGCAACTGTTCTTACAGTGCGACAGGGCTGACGACCTTTCTCTCTTTGATCTCACCTCTGGCGCCTCTCCTGCTCCTGCTGCTGATGCTGATCCCGCTGTCCGCTCTAAGTGGGCCACCCGCGATGCTGCTGCACGTCTTGCTGTGCGTCGCCACCTCCCTACCTCTGAGCGTGCGCACTTTAGTCAGTACAAGAGTGCTCAGACCTTGTACGACGCTGTAGTTGCGCGCTACTCCTCCCCTGCCACTGCTGCACTGAGCCGTCTCATGCTTCCCTACCTCTTTCCTGACCTCTCTGCCTTTCCCACTGTCGCTGACCTCATTACGCACCTCCGCACTAGTGACACTCGCTACCGCGCCGCCCTTCCTGCTGAGTTCTGCGCTAAGAACCCCCCCCCCATGTACATCGCTCTCTACTACGTAGTCGCGCGCCTCCCTGACTCCCTTCGCGTCGTCAGGGACCACTTTCTCGCAGTCTGTCCCACCACCCTCACCGTCGACCTCCTCGAGAAGGCCCTCCTCGCAGCGGAGAAGAGCATAGTCGCTGTAGGTGCTTCTCGTGGTGACCCTCGCACCCCCATCTTTGAGGGGTGCTCTCCTTCCCCCTTGCTGCCCTCTGTTGCCTCTGCTGCTGCCGCCGACCTGCTTGGTCTTGAGTCGGTCGGCGCGGCGTCTGCCCCTAGTGGGAGACGTCGCTCCAGCAAGGGCAAGGGGGGCAAGGGCGCGGGTGGAACTGGAGGGAGCGGTGGCGATGGCGGCGGTGGCGGCGGAGGGAGTGGGGGTGGCGGCGGGACTAGTGGCGGGGGTGGTGGTGGTGGTGGCAGCAGTGGCGGAGACGATGGTGGTGGTGCCAGCGGTGGTGGTGGAGGCAGCGGCGGTGGTGGAGGCGGCGGAGGTGGAGGCGGTGGAGGCGGCAGCGGAGGAGGCGGTGGTGGTGGAGGAGGTGGAGCTGGTCGAGGTGGTACCCAGCAGCGTAGCGGCGGTGGTGGTGGCCAGCGCTCGCAGCGGCAGCAGCAGCAGCGCTCGCGGGACATCCCTCCGCCTCAGCAGCTTCGTGAGTGGTACGCTGGGCGTCAGAGGGGTGGGGGTACTGGTCCCTGCACCTACGTTCTTCGTTCCGGCGACCGCGCGGGTGAGAAGTGTGGGGGTGCCCACGCCACCCAGCGCTGCTTTGGCCGCCTGACGGACGCCTGGCGTCAGCAGTTCCCTGGGGCTAGTGAGATCCCTCACTGGGATGAGCTTCTCAGGGCTGGTGTAGCGATCTTTGATCTTGATTTTGATGCTATCCTTGCTGCTATGTATGTTGTGGATTATAGTGAGGAGAATGAGGGTTACCGTTGTTTCCAGCCCGACCCGGGCATTGGTACTGCTGCGCTAGGTGCTTGTGAGGCTGCTGCTCTAGGTGCCAGTGCGTCTGCGCTCTCAGGTACTGGTGAGACTGCGCTCTCAGGTACTGCGTCGTCCTCGTCCTCCCTCACTTTCACACTTGACTCCGGAGCTTCTCGCTCCTTCTTTCGAGACCGCACTACCCTTACGCCGCTCGGCCGGCCGGTTGCAGTCTCCCTTGCTGACCCCTCTGGGGGTCCTGTCCTGTCTCACTTCTCCACTGTCCTCCCGTGTCCGGCTGCCCCTTCGGGCACCCTGTCGGGTCTGTACCTTCCCTCGTTCTCTACGAACTTGGTGAGTGGAGCGGACCTGCAGGATGTGGGTGTTCACCAGTTCACTCCTGCGAGTCAGCGGGTGACCCACTGCACGGAGGCACGCACAGGCCGACACCTGGCCACGTTCTCGCGTCGGCCGGGGTCGAGTCTCTACACCCTGACCGTTGAGTCTCCTCCTGTCCCTGCGTCTGGTCAGGTGGCTGCGTCGGGTCAGGTACTTGCTGCTGCGTCCCGGTCAGGTCCTGAGTCTGCCCCCTGTTCTTGTCGCCTCCTGTCTCACGAGACTCTCCTGTGGCACCACCGTCTTGGCCACCCCTCCTTGCCCCGTCTTCGGAGCATGGCTTCCCGTGTCCTTGTCTCTGGTCTTCCCCAGTCTCTCCCTCCTCTCCCCTCCGGGCCAGGACCTTCCTGTGTCCCCTGTGTCGAGGGTCGCCTCCGGGCTACTCCTCACTCATCCCACTTCCCCCCGACAGAGGCTCCCCTGCAGACGCTTCACATGGATGTGTGGGGCCCAGCCCCCGTCCGTGGGCAGGGTTACGAGCGCTACTTCCTGTTGGTGGTTGACGACTACTCGCGTTACACCACAGTCCTCCCCTTGCGCAGCAAGGGTGAGGTCACTGAGGTGCTGATCGACTGGATCCGCGAGGCTCGTCTCCAGCTCAGGAAGAGCTTCGGCTCGGACTTTCCTGTTCTGCGTCTGCACTCTGACAGAGGCGGAGAGTTCTCTTCTCGCCTTCTGCGGGACTACTGTCGTGCACGGGGGATCCTCCAGACCTTCACGCTTCCGGACTCACCACAGCAAAATGGGATTGCTGAGCGCCGCATTGGCATGGTCATGGATGTCGCTCGTACGTCCATGATGCATGCGGCTGCCCCCCATTTTCTGTGGCCGTTTGCGGTGAGGTACGCGGCGCATCAGCTCAACCTTCACCCCCGGGTCTCTCGGCCTGCGATGTCCCCAGCCTTGCTGTGGACGGGGAAGGTTGGCGATGCGTCTGTGTTCCGTGTCTGGGGATCTCGGGCGTTTGTCCGCGACTTGTCTGCGGACAAGCTGTCCCCTCGTGCTGCTCCCTGTGTCTTCCTTGGCTTCCCCACTGACGCCCCAGGGTGGCAGTTTTACCACCCCTCCTCTCGTCGTGTTCTGTCCTCCCAGGACGTCACGTTCGACGAGTCAGTCCCCTTCTACCGTCTCTTCCCCTACCGCACTCCTTCCCTCCCCCCTCCCCCGGACTTCCTTGTGCCGGTTCCCCCCCCGGTAGACCCCCTCCCCCCTCAGGTTCCTGCCCCCTCAGGTGTGTCCCAGGTAGACGCCGTTGACCCGGTCGAGGTTACTGGTGACTCTGGTGCTGCTGCGGGTGCTGAGCCTGGGGGTGCTGACTCTGGGGGTGCTGTGCGCGGGGGTACTGAGCCTGGGGGTGCTACTGCTAGGGGTGCTGGGCCTGAGGGTGCTACTGCGGAGGGTGCGGAGCCTGGGGGTGCTGAGTCTGGGGGTGCTGTGCCTGGAGGTGCTGGGTCTGGGGGTGCTGGGTCGGGAGCTGCTGAGCCTGGGGGTGCTGAGCTGGGAGCTGCTGAGCCTGGGGGTACTGCGTCTGGAGCTGCTGAGCCTGGGGTTTCTCCTGCTGCTGCGTCTCGCCGGGAGCCCCTCTCTCCACAGGAGCTGCGCGAGTGGTTCGCTCGCCGCTGGAGGCGTGCTGCTGAGTCTGGAGGTGCTGCTGGAGCTGGAGCTGGAGCTTCTTCGACCGTCGAGGGTGCGGGTGCTGCCGGTCCCGGAGCTGCTGGACCTGCGGGTCCTCCTGGAGCTGGAGCTGCTGCGGGCGCTGGTGCTGAGCCTACTTCTGTTGGTCCTGCCGCTGGAGGTGTGGGTGGCGCTGGTGCTGTCGCTGAGGGTGCTGGTGCTGTCCCTGCTGCGTCTGGAGCTGCCGCGCGGCCTCGGCCGTACTTCGTTCCGCTCCTGCAGCAGGTTCTTGGTCTTTCTCCTCCAGTAGAGGGTCCACCGCCTGTCCAGTCGCAGTCCCTGCTGGAGCCTTCCTCTCCACTGCCTGCTCCCTCTCCTTACACTGGTCCTACTGGAGGTCTTGCTGAGCGTCGTGAGCCTGCGTCTCGTCCCGCGTCGCCTGTTCGCACTGCTCGCGCTAGTGGTCGCAGTTCGCGTCAGCGTCCTCCTCCTGTCCCTGGCACGCACCGGATGTCTTTGCGTCCGTCCACTGCTCCTCTGCGTGCCCCTTTGCCTTCTCCTCCTGAGTCCTCTCTTCCTGCGCTTGCCGACCCTGGGTCGGACTCTCTTCGTGCTGCCAGTCCTACTGTCACGCGTCTGCTTGCTACTGTCGTCACTGACCCCTCTTTTGAGTCCACTGCTGCGTCTGCTCTAGTCGCTGAGCTCGTCGACTTTGCTGCTCGCTGTCATCTCGACTACGCTGCTAGTCTTGTTGCTGAGTCTGCGTCTGTCTGTCCTCCGTCCGTCGGGGGTGAGTGTGCTCTTGGCACGGACGTCCTAGAGGACAGGCAGGAGGAGTTACAGTGTCTAGCGACTGCTTCACCTCATCTCGCGTCTGTACTGCTTGCCCCTGAGGGAGACCCGGATGCACTAGACATCCCGACTCCGCGTTCTTACGCGGAGGCCGTAGAGGGTCCCTACTCCTCTCAGTGGCAGGCAGCTATGGATGCAGAGATGGCTTCCTGGAAGTCCACAGGCACCTACGTTGACGCGGTTCCCCCTCCTGGGGCGAACATCGTCAGTGGCATGTGGATCTTCAGGGTGAAGCGGCCGCCGGGCTCTCCACCTGTCTTCAAGGCACGGTACGTTGCTCGTGGCTTCAGTCAGCGGCAGGGAGTTGACTACTTTCAGACCTTCTCTCCCACCCCGAAGATGACTACTCTTCGGGTGCTGTTGCACATAGCCGCTCAGCGCGACTACGAGCTTCACTCTCTCGACTTCAGCACTGCGTTCTTGCAGGGTAGCCTGCACGAGGAGATCTGGCTTCGCCGTCCACCTGGCTTCACTGGGACTTTCCCTCCTGGCACCCAGTGGAGCCTCCGACGGCCAGTCTACGGTCTCCGCCAGGCACCGCGTGAGTGGCACGACACACTGAGGACTACGCTTGCGGCTCTTGGGTTTGCTCCTTCTACTACTGACCCGTCGCTGTTTCTTCGCACCGACACTTCCCTGCCGCCGTTCTA